AGAAGGAGAAACATCACATGTTTTCGCTCATTTGTACAGGTTAATATGTGAATCTTCAGGTAATATGTATTTCATTTGAAATAGCCATAGTCATCAGGAAATTAGTCAGGAGCTATAAACGGGGCATTTGAGGGAGAGGAGATAAAATGAAGTGATATGAAGGGGTTAATAGAGCATGAAGCCTTACTTGTTCTTTTGAAACAGGGTCTCTAACTGAAGCCAGAGATCACTGATTCAACTAGGCTTGACTGCCAGTGAATTCACGGAAGCCTCTTTGCTGTGCAATTCAAGCACCAGGAGTACATACACTCAGCACATGAGAGCTTTTCTGTGACTGCTGGGCATCCAACACCAGGCCCTCATTTTGCACAGCAAGTATTTCATCAGCTGGCTCATCTCCTTGCACAGTTCCTATAATTTATGGGAAGGAATAAGATGAAGCCTAAAGTCTATGTGGTTTAGACTTTGAGACAGGTGAAAGTGTTCTCTTGAGGGTAGGGTGGAAGTAATTATTTAGCGTGAGGCTTTCTTCCACTATCTCTGTTCTTTATTACAAAATAAATGCTGCCGTTGTTGCTGCTGCTGCTTCTGCTGCTGCTGTTGTGGATATTGCTCTCAAGTTCAAATTTGAGGAAAATAGCAGTAAGCAGTCCTTCTTAAAGGTTTCATATTTTTTTGCAGAAAAAGGTCTTCGAGTACCAAGTAGTAAAAGTAAGTCCCACCCTTTTAGCCAAGCAGAGTTCTTCATTTGTAGGTCTATTCTTTCCACACAAGTAGCTCAGAAAGATTTAAAAGTTGTTTGATCTGAATCCTTTTATGTCTGCTTTCTGCCCTTTTCCAGTCCTGAAGAATATACAGATAAAGACTTTCACAAGTGAAAATACAGATGTGTATATTAACATCTGTTGTTCTAATTGTAGAATAAAGTTTGGAAAAGAATCTATGGAACTCCTATCCTGGGTACTATATCATTTACCTATAAAACATAAAATAGTTTTACCAGGTTCTCCCAAAGGTCTTGGGAAAAAATTGCTAATAATGACAAAAAGAGGAGAGATAATTGTGGAACTCAATGTTAGAGCACTTCCCTAACATGTGAAAGGACTGAATTCAATCACCAGTACTAAATATATATATATATATATGTATATATATGTTTATATATATATATATATATATATATATATATATATGAGAAATGAGGAAAGAAAAGAGAACGGGGGGAGGGTGTGAGAAGAAGGAGGAAAAGTTAATGAAAGGAAGGGAAATGGATAAGAAAGAAGGGGAGGAACAGAGAAAAGAATGAAGGAAAACAAAGAAAGAAAACAAGAGGGAAGGGGAGAGGAAGTGGAAGGGAGGGCAGATAAATCCAAACAAAATTTATGGGAATATGAGATTACCAAGAATAGAACAAGATAATGAAGACAAATCTAACATGGGCAACCATTATAAAGACACATGAGAATAAGCCCACACCCATTCTGTTGACTATAGAATCCTCAGGTGGAATCTCATTTCTGTCAAATTCCATCCAGCTCAGGCTCTGGAAGTCAAAATCAAATCCAAAATGTGACTCTTAGATCATGTGCCTCTTAATCTCCTTAACCTAATCTGAGTTTGTTCTTTTGTGAAATTCTGAAACATCGCCTAGCCCCATCTTATCTCTTCTCATTTTTATGCTCATCTCATTTTGGCTTCATGGTTTTTTCAATAAAGATGTATTCATCCAGCAGCCTCTACTATCTACCAGAAACATAGTTATCAGTTTCTCCAAAGAACATAGGACAACAGCAAAGAAAACAAGGAAGAACATGTTTCTCTTCCATTTATAATTATACTGGTGGGTTTGCAGTAGCAAGATATTTTCTGTAGAGAAATTGAGTTTACCATACTAATGAAATAAGTACATCTAACAAAGGCATCATGTATTTTCTCTCTCAGATATGAAATGTATTTATTTAATTGTTTGATTGTTTGTTTATTGGCACCAGGTCTCATTGTGTGACCTTAGTTGGTCTGCAACTCACTGTGTATACCAGACATAAATCAGAGATTCTCAAACAGATTCTTCTGTCTTCTCCTCCCAGACGCTCAGATTAAAAGTGTGATCCACCATGGCTGGCAACATATGTAATTTCCAAAATAATATTTTCCACCTACAATTGGTGAATCTATGGCTACAGAATCTACTTTATGGAAAGCAGAGTGCCTCTCCTTTCCTGACTTTCCCTAGTGTGATTTAGTTCTCATTGTTTCTGTATCTCTTTGACCTATTTGGACGTTAAATATCTGCATTCAGTATTTTTAGTGGTTGTCCCAAAATTTTATTCATGTACACTTGATGAAGAAAGTATGAAATACTCAGTGTAACACTGAGAACCTCTTTTGCTCTAAATGTGCTTCTTATACATAATTTATTCCCAGTGATTTATTTTTATTGAGTGTATTTCTCTTTTCTTTTTCCTAACATTCTGTATGTTGAGGGGTGGGAGAATCTGCTCACACATGTGTGGAAGGCAGAGAACAACTTATGGGAGTTGGTTCTGTCCTTTCTCTTTGTGGGTTCTGGAGACTTAGGGGTAACCAACTTTCTCCACTCAGCCATCTTTTTAGGATATGTTTTGTTTTTAATTAAGACGTATTAATAGGATTCAGTGTCACGTTTACATATATACATGCATACATGCTTGTTGATCAAACTCAGTCACCATTCTGTTACTCTACTTTCTCTCTCCCCATGACCTTTCCCTGTCCCTAAGTAATTACTCTTGATCTCTTTATGTTATCTTAATTTTAGTTCTGACATATGAGAGAAAATACAGCATGCCTGTCTTTCTGTATCTCTCTAGCTTAATCTACTTAAAATACCTTCCAGTTCCATCAGTATTGCTGAAAATTAAAGTCTTTAATTTCTTCTTTTGGCCAGAGATTTCTCCATTGAATATATCATGTTTTCCTTTCCACTCATCTACTAATAGACACGTGGGCTGATGCTATTTCTTGGGTACTGTGGATAATGCTGCAATAGCATGGCCATGCAGATAGTTTCTCTCTCTTCTCTGTTTCTTCTCCCTGAGTGTTTACCAAGGGGAGGTATAGCCAGAATTTTTTAACAAGGGAGTGATATATGTACATATATTTTTAAGATTTGTCAAATAACTATAATTCATTTGGATTTTCTTTTCTGATCATTTTTGTGTTTTCACTTTTAAAGTATCTTTATTGACTCTTTGAGAATTTCATAAATTTATACAATGCATTTTATATAATGATATTACCTTGTATATATATTTTTATTTATTTGAAAAATCTTCTTGACATCTTCCATAATGACTCTACTAATCCTCATCCCTATGTCAGGGTTCACACTAGAAATTACTTCATTTGTGTTCTTTAGTTTTAATTAAGACAGGTTCTCTGTAGCCCAGGTTGGCCTTAAAATCATTGTACCACCAAAGTTGTTCTTGAGTTTCTGATCGTCCGCCTCTACCTCCAAACTGCTGAAATTTTGTGCCAACATATCTCCTGGATTTCTGTTTGTCCATCTTGTTGTTATTTTCTTGTTTTTTTTTTAAAATAATATCCAACTTTTCAATTTTTATTTTTAATTCTCTTATGTCTTTTTTATTTGTTTTATATTTACTTATTTATTATATGTAGAGAGAATATCAGCACATCTGTAGAGGTCAGAGGACAAATGTAAGGAGTCAGTTCTCTCCTTTCAGTATGTGGGCATCGGGGATCACATTCAGATCCAAAGACTTGGCAGCAAGCACCTTTGCCCACTGAATAATCTCATCAGTACATTTTTTTGATTTTTATCAGTATGCATTTATTTTAAAGAAATGAGTTTTGTATTAAAATTTTTGTTCAAACATATTATGTACTTTGCATAACCAGGATAAGATGATATTTCACTGTTTGGTTTTGTTTTCCCTGATAAGCTAATGGCTGCAAATATTTTTTCATATATTTATTCATTCCTTTATACTTTAGTTCACCTTAATAACATGAATTCTATTAGTATTGCTAAGTATTTGTGATTCAACATTTTAGTTTAAACATTTGGAACATTGAAACTTCTTGGATGGCGATTAATTCATAGATATCATTTTTTTCTGGATTTCATTAGTTCATCCTTCAATACTTCTTTTTTTGAGAACTTTGAGTGAAGCCTGGAAATGTGTCACAGTACATAAGAACACTTGAATGCAAGAGGACAGCAATTCAAACTCTCAGCACTCACATAAATACTGGGCATTGCTGGATTTTGAGGGCAGAGACAAGAGGGTCCTGGGATCACACTGGATCTAGGTGAAATGGCAACATTCATGGCCAGTGAGAAACTGTCTCAGCAACAGAAAAGATGGGGAGCAGAGCAATTGAGGGAAACATTTGATGTACTCCTTTGATTGGCACAATTATGTGCACAACACATGCATGCATATACATTGTACACCAAACACACACACACAATTAAAAACCAAAATATGCAATCTTTCTGTTCTCTCTTCCATAATGTTCTCAGTCCTGAAACTATGTATATACAAGATTATATTGTCTGAGCAAATTGTATTTATATGTTTAGGAATGTAATTTTAAAACTGTATGTAATAACAATCAAAGAAAAAGAGGCCAGATTCCATGAAACCAAGAAAAAGTGTGAATGGGGAGAGGGATAACTGGGAGGGATTTAAGGATGGAAAGAGAAAAATGGAAAATGGTGTAACTGTACCTTAAGTTCAAAATTTTTTTTAAATCAGTAAAAAGAAGAAAAGAATCCATGAAATCTCCGTTTTCTCAATACTTACGTAAATGGGAACATTCAGAGGATTCTGAATTTAAGCTTCCAAGAGTGAGGTAATATAAATACTAAGCAAAAGTCCAAGGTACTGTAATTAGCTCAACAAGAACTGGGAAGTTAGCTTGTCTTACCTTCTAACCTATCTCCATACTGTTCCTTAACTTCTACTTTTAATACTTCCAAAAGAGTTAAACACATGGGACCACAAAACCAAACCAGCGCGTCTGAATTCATCCTCCTGGGACTTTCAGAGAAGCCAGAACATGAACCTGTCCTCTTTTCTCTCTTCCTCTGCATGTATGTGGTCACAGTCGTGGGGAACTTGTTGATCATCTTGGCCATCAGCACTGACTCTCACCTCCACACTCCTATGTATTTCTTCCTGGCCAATCTCTCCTTGGTTGATTTCTGTCTAGCTACCAACACTGTCCCTAAGATGCTGGTGAACATTCAAACCAGGAGCAAGTCTATCTCTTATCCTTGCTGTCTAACTCAGATGTACTTTTTCCATTTTTTTGGCATCATGGACAGTGTCTTAATAGCGGTGATGGCTTATGATCGGTTTGTGGCCATTTGTCACCCATTACATTATTCTACTATCATGAGTCCACGCCTCTGTGGGCTGCTGGTAGGTGGCCCATGGGTGTATTCCTGCTTCATCTCCCTTACCCACATCCTCCTCATGGCCCGTCTGGTATTCTGTGGAAACAATGAGCTCCCCCATTACTTCTGTGACCTCACTCCACTTCTCCGGCTTTCATGCACAGACACGACAGTAAACAAAATATTTGTGCTTATTGTGGCAGGAATGGTAATAGCCACACCTTTTGTCTGTATCCTCGCCTCCTATGCTCGAATCATCGTGGCCGTCATGAAGGTCCCCTCTGTGGGTGGGAGAAAGAAAGCCTTTTCTACCTGTAGCTCCCACCTCTCTGTGGTAGTCCTTTTCTACGGGACCACCATTGGGGTCTATCTATGTCCCTCCTCTGTCCGCACAGCTGTGAAGGAGAAGGCTTCTGCAGTAATGTACACAGCAGTCACCCCCATGCTGAACCCCTTTATCTATAGCCTGAGGAACAGAGATCTGAAGGGAGCTCTGCAGAAGCTCATCAACCGAAAGATCAGTGCGTCTTCCTGATCATCAGAACATTGGGGAATTTCTGGGCAGATCTAAAGATCTTAGTTCTTCAACTAAAATTGGAATAACAAGTGAAAAAAGAGTAACCACTTTAAATTCTGAGTTACAGAAACCCAAGAGACAATTGTGAGGCGGCCTTTTAACTATTGTCCTGTTCTAGTTGTTTTTGTTGTCAATTTGGCACAGCCTAAGATCACCTGGGAAAAGGGAATCTCAATTAGAGAATTACCTGGGTTTAATTGGTTTGTGTTGTGGGGACTTATCTTAATAGCTAGTTGATGTATGAAGACCTAGCCCAGTATGGGCAGTACCATCCATAGGCCCGTGGTCCTGGGATGTGTAAGGAAGTCAACTAAACACTAAACATGAGGCTTTCAGCAAGCTATCATTGCTCCTCCATGGGTGTTGCTTCAAGTTTCTGCTGAGTGTCTTCTCTGATGTCCTTCAAAGATTTACTGTAACCCTTAAACTTAATTAGGCCCTTTCCTCCTGTAAATTGTTTTTTGTCATAGTGTTTTCCCACAGCAACAAAAAAGGTAACTAGAAAATTTCCCAAATAATTCTAATTCTGCCTCACACTGTCCTCACAGAAAAATATGATGATCATTACAGATTGGATTTTCCCTTCTTCAGTATCCTCTTAGCAAACAGCAAATGCCATCATGCACTGTGTAACAATAATATCATCTGAGAAATGTATCATCTGAAAATTTTAACATTGTAGAAATATTATAAATGGTATTTACATAAACAGTGTAAATTGATAATTCAACTCAATATTTTTATGCATTTCCACAATACATACTAACCATTGTGATCTCCCATCTTCCTATAACTCCTGTGAAGCTCTGCTCTTATGCACAGGTCTCTTTTATACATTCTCTCTTATACATTCCTATGTAGCCATTTTACTTTCTAACCCAGGGCCATCAGCATGACTATGGGATCATAGCTATCTGTTGGAGCCTGGTGGGCTCAGCTGTGGGTACACAACTGAAAACAGTTGTTCCTTCTGGTCTCAGAGTCTACTAATAGCCAGTAGTCCTGTGACAATCAGTCCTTCTTCCTTCATTGAATTATTATTGATAAGACCAGTCTTGTATGTACACCCAGTACATGTAACTACACTCAGTAAGAGTTAATAATTATAACATGTATATCCAGTTCAGAGAATGGTTGTTCATGGACCTACTCCTTATCCTCCAAATCTTCCATATTTCCTGCCATCTCTCTTATGCAGTGTTCCATGAGCCTATATAGATGTCTTATTTACTGCCAAGCACACAAATATTCCTAATATTTTGCATCTTGGACAGTGTCTTAGATAGAGTATCTATTGCTGTGAGGAGATACTATGACCACAGCAACTCTTACAAAAGAAATGTTTAAATGGTGTGACTTACAATATCAGAGGTTTATCCATTAAACATTATGGCAGGATGTGTAGTATTCAGGCATACATGGTGCTGGAGAATGAGCAGAGAATTCTACATCTTGAACACAGGCGCAGGAAGTGAACTGTGTCACTGGGCACAGTTCAAGCATAAGAGATCTCAAAGACTGCCCCCACAGTGGCACATTTTCTCCAACAAGCTCAAACCTCCTAATAGTGGCACTCCCTATGAGTTTAGAAAGGCCAATTGCATTCAGACTACCAATGACAGCTTGCAGTAATCACCCCAGGACTCTCCTCATTCACTACGATTCTTTGTAGGAAGAGTTTGCTCTGATCAAAGGTGAGAGGAGCTTTTGTCTACAGGTATAAGTATGGATATTTAGAAAACAATTTTATGTCTTGTCAATTTATCAACTCAGAGTCTTCATATAATTTAGAATAATAGTGCTGGAGATGTAGTTCAATGAGTAGAATGCTTGATTAGTATGCACCGTGCAAGACACAGGAAGTGATGGGTAGACATGAATGTGGCTACTACTGGCATAACAAAACATACTGTTCCATTATAAACATTTTATGGCACAATTAAGAGAAACGAACCTCAAAATGTGAATAAAGACTGGGGTAACTTGTTGAATAAAGCTCTTGGTGCACAAACATGAGTACTAGTATTTGGATTCCTGAGAACCCAGGAGAAGCCAGATGAAGTTGCACACATCTCTGATTTCAGTATATCTACAGTGAGATGGAAGGTAGAGACAGCAGAATCTCCACAAGCTCACTGGTTAGCCAGCCTGGCATATGCAATTCATCAAGGGACACTGTCTCAGACAAGGTGTGAGATGAGGACCCACATTCAAAGTTATTTTCTGACCTTCACATGTCCACGTGTATACATGTCTCCTCCACATTCATACATAGATATTCATACACTCATCATCATCATACACATTCACATATCAATAGAGAAATCTTAGAATAGCAATAAAATAGAATAAATACATAAATCGGTAACATGGACATTTATTAAGATTTCAAGATTCTGTATCAAGTACAATATTGTAGTAAGGAGGCCGCTTGTTCATTTCCCAGTTGCCCAGACTTCTAAAATAACTACACAGAAACTGTATTAATTAATTAACTGCTTGACCAATTACTTAAGCATATTACTATCTAGCTCTTACATCTAGAATTAACCCATCTCCATTATTTTATATTTTACCCAAGGGTTGTGGCCTACCGGCAAGGTTTCAGCATCTCTGGCAGTGGCTCTATGGCTTCTTCTTGATTCTGCCTCCTTTCTCCCAGCATTCAGTTTAGTTTTTCCCACCTAACTTACTCTACCCTATCACAGGCCTAAGTCAGTTTCTTTGTTAACCAATGGTATTCACAGCATGCAGAGGGGAATCCCACATCACAATATCTTGTTGTGCAGCAATGTCCCCTTAAATTGACTAAGGTAATTTCATCTAGTTCTACCTTTGTTTTATGTATGTCTACACAGTACTCAGTCTTTCACCCAACAATAATCACATCCACCTTGGCAATGCTTTCGAGACAGTTCCTGACCCTGATCATGGTCCAGATGTATGAATCAAAATAGTGTTTGTGCAATCTAAAACAATAAAATAAAATAAAATAACTAGATAAATCATAAATCAAAAATAATTATCTTGTGTCTGGAAAATGCTGGTAATCTCTGCAAAAAAAAAAAAAAGACAGATGTTGCAAGGCTTCTCTAAGCCCCCTACTGATGTAAATGCCCCCAGTACTGATGCAATTGTGTGTTTTGTCAATACACTGTACTCCTGAGCTCTGGTACCAAGAGAGATTTTGGAGATATTAGTTTACTCTTGGTCTGGCTATTATTAAAGGACTCTTATACTCTTAATGGACTTAGTTAGTGTCATTGTTGATAATTGTCCCACTCTGAATTGACACATCTCCACAAGGAAGGAATCATGAGACTTTGGAACTTAAACTTCACATGGCTAAGAAAGCTAAACTTACATGGGGACCCAATCCCAAGGGTATAGAAAGAGTAAACAGCTTCTGGAAGTGGAGACTAATTTACCTAACCACCAAGAAAAGGTTCTCCAACCTGTCTAGCTGCCTAAAGGTCATGCAGATATCTCTTGGGTTTTTTCTTCCATGACTTGTCACTCATGCTGGGTTGGACTTTAGCAATGCAGCTGTTTTGGGTCATCTCTGCTCCTGTAAATACCTCTGACAAAAACTCATTGGTTCACTGGATCTGATTTTTCGTGCAATCATTACTTTGGTCTCTGAGTTCCCTATATAGGAGGATTAAGAATGTGTGTGTGTGTTATGGTCCCAAGGAAAAGTCTCGCACTCTATGTATTGCTGTACTTTGAAATAACTGGAAGAATTTGAGTTTGTTTAATTGCGAGTGATACATTGCACTCTTAAATTACTCCAACAATAGTGCCACTGGGTTATAAAATTTTTTAGCTGAATTATGATCTTATGACACCACTGTCATACACACAGGACATCTTTGACTGTAACATCATTTTCAGCATATGATTCTCTTTAAGTTACATTCTGCCCTCAGTATTTATTTTTACATCCATAAGTTTACATTTCTCTCAGCCTTGGTCAGACCAGATTCTTTCTGCAGTGGATAGTAGTTAATGCAAACACACACATGTATAAGACAACTAAAGAAGATCAAGGGGATACAAAGTAGAAAGGAAGAAGTCAATATATCGCTATTTTCAGATGACATGATCGTGTATGTGAACCACCCCCAAAATTCTACAAGAGAATTCCTACAGCTGATAACTATCTTCAGTGAAGTGGCTGTATTCAAGACTAACTCAAAAAAAATGAATAGCCCTTCTGTTTACATATAATGAATGGTCAGAGAAAGAAATCAAGAAAACACCACCACACCCATCACAATAGCTAAAATAATATAAAATATCTTAGAGTAACTCTAACCAAGCAAGTGAAAGACCTGAATGACAAGAACTTCAAGTTCTTTTTTTTTCTCAAATTAGCTCATTTAATACTTACACATCAGGATTTAAAATAAAGCCATTTATCCACTTCCAGATCTTCTCTGCTGGTACATAGTTAAATCCAATAAAAAAAAATCCTGTCTTTTTGTTTCAGTTTTTTACTGACTTTATTGAACTATATATTTTTTCTCTTCTAGAAATAGAGAAGATATCAGAATATGAAAGGATCTCCATTGATAGGATCAGGACACTAAAAATGACCATCTTACCAAAAGTAAGCTACAGATTCAATTAAAATTCCAAAGCAATTCTTGAAAGAACAATACTCAACTTCATATGGAAAAAGAAAAAGCCCAAGATAGCTGTAGCAATCCTGAAAAAATATCTTCTGGTAGTATCACCATCCCTGATTTCTAGCTTTACTACAAGAAGTATAGTAATAGAAACTGCATGATGTTGCCATAAAAACAGACAGGTGGATAAATGGAACTGAATGCAAGACCCAGACATAAATCCACATACCTATGGACACTTGATTTTCAACAAAGATGAAATTATACAATGAAAAAAAGAAAGCATCTTTGACAAATGGTTTTGGTATAACTGGATGTTGGCATGTAAAAGAATACAAACAGATTCATACTTATTACCCTGTATAAAACTTAAGTTGAAGTGGATCAAATATTTCAACATAAATCCAAATACACTGAACCAGGTTAAAAAGAAAGTGGGAAATAATCTTGAACAAACTGGCCCAGTAGACAACTACCTTAATGGAATGCCAATAGTACGGACACTAAACTTGGCAAATGGGACCTCATGAAACTGAGAAGCATCTGTAAGGCAAAGGACAATGTTAACAGGACAAAAACAGCAGCCTACAGAATGGGAAAAGATCTTCACCAACCCCATATCTGACAGAGTGCTAATTTCCAAAATATATTTTAAAAAACTCAAGAAACTAGACATCAACAAACCAAATAATCCAATTCGAAAATGATAGGGATCTAAGTGGATAATTCTCAACAGAAGAATCTTAAATGCACAAGAAAAGTTTTTCAGAAATATTCAATATCCTTAGCCCTCAGTGAAAATGCAAATCAAAATTACCCTGAGATTCTTTTTACACCTGTCAAAATGGCTAAGATCGAAGCATAAGTAACAGCTCATACTCAAGAGGATGGAGCAAGAGGAACATTCTTCTATTGCTGGTGGGAGTGCAAACTTAACAGTCACTTTGGAAATCAATATGACAGTTTTTCAGAAGAATGGGACTACATCTATCTCAAGACCCAGCTATACCACTCTTGAGCATATACCCAAAGGATGCCACAAAGACACTTGCTCAACCTTGTTCATGGCAGGTTTTTTTTTCTAATTGGAATTGTTTTTTTTTTAATTTATTAAAGATTTCTTTCTCTTCCCCACCTCTGCCTCCCCTTTCCCTCCCCCTCCCCCAATCAAGTCTCCCTCCCTCGTCAGCCCAAAGAGCAATCAGGGTTCCCTGCCCTGTGGGAAGTCCAAGGACCACCCACCTCCATCCAGGTCTAGTAAGGTGAGCATTCAAACTGCCTAGGCTCCCACAAAGCCAATACGTGCAGTAGGCTCAAAAACCCATCGCCATTGTTCTTGAGGTCTCAGTAGCTCTCATTGTCCGCTATGTTCAGTGAGACCTGTTTTAACCCAGGCTTTTTCAGACCCAAGCCAGCTGGCCTTGGTGAGTTCCCAATAGAACATCCCCATTGTCTCAGTGTGTGGGTGCACCCCTTGTGGTCCTGAGTTCCTTGCTTGTGCTCGCTCTCCTTCTGCTCCTGATTTGGACCTTGAGATTTCAGTCCGGTGCTCCAATGTGGGTCTCTGTCTCTGTCTCCTTTCATCGCCTGATGAAGGTTAATATTCAGGAGGATGCCTATATGTTTTTCTTTGGGTTCTCCTTCTTATTTAGCTTCTCTAAGAACCCGAATTATAGGCTCAATGTCCTTTATTTATGGCTAGAAACCAAATATGAGTGAGTACATCCCATGTTCCTCTTTTTGGGTCTGGCTTACCTCACTCAGGATAGTGTTTTCTATTTCCATCCATTTGCCTGCAAACTTCAAGAAGTTCTTGTTTTTTACTGCTGAGTAGTACTCTAATATGTATATATTCCATACTTTCTTCATCCATTCTTCAATTGAAGGGCATCTAGGTTGTTTCCAGGTTCTGGCTATTACAAACAATGCTGCTATGAACATAGTAGAGCATATATTTTTGTTGTATGATAAGGCCTCTCTTGGTTATATTCCCAAGAGTAGTCATGGCAGGTTTATTAACAATAGCTACAAAATGGAAACAACCTAGGTGTGCCTTGACCATAGATGGGACTTCATTTATCTCAAGACCCATCTATCTCAAGACTGAAAAAAAGTCAATCAAATGATTCCAAATGACATTCTGCTGTACTCATAAACTGCTGCCTATCCCAATAGTCACCAGAGAGGCTTCATCCAGCAACTGATGCAGAGACCCACAGTCAAACATTCAGCAGAGCTCAGAAGATCCTAAGGAAGAAAGGGAGGAAGAACTGTAGGAGCCAGAAGCATCAAAAACACCACAAGAAAAAAACACAGTCAACTAACCTGGACTCATGGTGGCTCAAACAGACCGAACCAACAAATAGGTAGCCTTCACAGGACTAACAGCCTCTGCATATATGTTACAGTTTTCTGAGTTGGTCTTCTTGTGGGACTACTAACAGAGGGAGAAGTAACTATCTCTGACTTCTATATTGACTTTTGGGACCTGATTCCTCATACTGGGATGCCTTGCCAAGCCGTAATACATGGGGAGGCACTTAGTCTTACTACACTTTGATATGCCATGTTTGGTTGATATCCATAGGAGACCTTCCCTTTTCTGAACAGAAGGTGAATTGAAAAGATTATAAGAGTCAGAGATAGTAGGTGTCTGTAGTGAAACAATATTTGCTGGGAATGAGTAGACTGTTGCACACATGAACTTATAGGGCTTTAACTGTGTGCACTGCGCAAGACATGCATAGGATCAGGCCAGGCAAAATCTATAAAAGGAATAAAAAAACACTGTAACACATGTAACTCCTTTGTCAACTCTAGACATCATTCTTATCCAGTTGTTTGAATTGGATCAGAATGATCACATGATCAGAAAGTAAAAGTTAAAAGGCAAGAAAATGTGAGCCAGTATATGTATGAGGATGTGGGGGCTTTAAAAGTGACTCAAGATCTCTGAAATCAGCTGAAAATAAAAAAGAGCATGGGCAAAATTTTGCTCTGACATCATCCGTGGTAGATGCAGATCTAGATCTTAGAACCAAACAAAAAGTCTTACATAACACAATGGACCTTAATCAGGTTTTGAAAAACTTTTCTGCAATTAGATTGGGACAACAAAGACATCACCTTGCTCAGCCTTCAGTAATTCCTAGGAAAAACTACTCTTTCACAGGAGAAGAGGTAAGACAGACAAATCAGGAAAATCAGAGGCTTTTGAAAGAACTGTCAAAACAAGCTGAAAAACAAGGAAGCAAAAGTCCAATTCCCAGAAGATCTGTTGAACTTTCCTGTAAGTGCTATCATAGTACTATCAACAGACAAAAGGAACAACAAAGGATTGAAAGAGAAAATTTGGATTTATTGAAATAGCTTAAAGCTGGGAGGCCAACAGTCGGCATGAAACAATCTGAACAGCTCATGTACTATCATCAAAATATGGGTTATCTAAACTCCTTCACCATCCATTAGACAAGTGAGATCAACTCTGGGTTACTATACCTCACTGAGAGGAGCTTCCAGGGCATCCCGTGCCACCAGTCTTCTCGACTGTTAGACTAATGGATCAGTGCTGGACATATACAATGGCTTTTTTTGCTAAAATCAAAACCTTCAAATGTTCATAATGCTTGACTGTAAAATCATTTTTTATGGTATATATTGTTTGCCCCATTTTAACAACATATTTTATGCATTACTCTAACTCTTTGCAAACATCTGTAGTACATTTTTCAACTATACAACAATGAGTGTAATTAATAGTTATTCAGTACAAAACTGTTATCAAAAGACTCTTCTGTAAAATCAGTGTTTCATATGGCAGCATGTTTATAGGAGCTATATGTGCATTTAATAGAAACAGATTGCATGAATATTTTCTCAAAATAGAAATTTACTTATTATGTTGACCAAACAGCAGTGGTAATAATCCTTGTAGAAGCAAGACACTCCTCTATTTCTTACTCTATTATTTTCAGTTATTGAAAGAATAAACTTAAGCACCTCATGCTTCTGTTGCTTCAGCATATCTGTAACGTAAGTCATTTGATTATGTGTTACTCTCCCTATGAAGAAATGTGTTTTCATGTATGAGCTGGTTTCAATTTGATGAAGAGGGTAAGCAGCTTGAACTCATGCAATTCTTGGTCCACCAAAGGTGTTTCTCTGTAAGAGTTTGATTGTCCATTCCAAACTATTTCACACTGTAAACAATATAGGTTCACTTTACAAGCCCGTGGTTTATACTTTTATAAGGATTCTGCAAAAATCCTTTAAAAAAGCCTTTAAAATCCTACTTTCTTGTGACTCGTTTGTATACAGATCATTTGCATCATAAACAAAAGCAAGTATTTGTTGGACCATCAACAAAACTCCCAGCTCAAAAAGCCAAGAAGTAAACCCCAGGGTATGTTAGAGAGTGTCTGAAATGATACTGTTAGTGTGAGTGTTGTAATTGTGTGTTTATTGTAGTAAAAGAAGGCTTAGAGTAAGGAAAAAATGTTTCAGATAAACCATATATAACAAGAAAGAAACTAATCACACATTAGTTAAAGTTACTGCCTTACTATTAACGAATTTTCTTGGTTTCTCTGATTTGACTGATTCTTACCAGTCTCACATTTAAAGGCCTATTTGTCCTGATGGAATCATTAGTAACACTGTTAATCCCACTAGTTGAGAATAAGATCACTTCCACAAATTAGAAGCCAAATTTGAAGCAAGCTTTAATTAAATACTGGCCAGGTTGAGGGGCTCCGGCCAGGTCCATCTCTGGATTTCTAGAAGATGCCCCTAAATCAAGTTTTGTGAGGGCTTAAGAAGGAAAACCCATAATCCATTGAATTTCCCATGAAGTCCAATTAGGGGCAAGCATCATTGTTGATGTACCTCCAGACTTCAATCAATCATGGGCAAGTGTCCAGCTTGGCCTGTTTCCTGCCTATGAACCTCCCTACCTGTGATCAAACACAGCCAGTCTAGTTGGACCAAACAAACTTTTTTAAGGAAGTAAAAAACATGTGGCTTGTTATGTTCCATAAAAGAATATCCTTGAGAATTTCAGGCACTAGCTGTCCTTGGGCAAGGGTCCTGCAGATCAAAGGCATTTTTGTTTCATGGATTTCTTAGGCGTAGTAATTAAACCTGAAATGTACTTGGCTCTCAACACACATGACACATAGGTGTGTTATGCCCAGATCACAGAGTCCCCCAAAGTCAACTAGAAGACTGTAGTAAAAGCAAAGATCCCTTATTCAAACTTAAGCTTGGACTCTCCCTCTGTCCAACCCAGGGGTTGAAAGCAGAGAGGGCTAAACTCAGTTGGGGTAGGGTTTTTAATCAGAGTAGAGGTTGGGGTGGGGGATTTCCAGAGTTCAGGATCCTAATTGACTGACTTTTGTTTGGGGTCTTGGCAAAAGGAGAATAGATGAGTCCTGGGCTCAGGGACAACTGGTGGTGTGAGTGTAATTGTCTATCCTGTCCCTTTAAGAGAAAAGCCCTATCCCTTCCTTCCCCCATCTGCTGAGGCAAGCAGGTCTTCCTTCTGCTTCCAGCCTGAGTTCCTTCCATTCCATCTTTCTTCTGAAGAGGTAGCTGCCACCGCGGCTCCTCTCCCCCTCCCTCTTTTCCCTACCTCTCTCTCTCTCTCTGTGCCTCTCTCTCCTCTTCCTCCTTCTTCCCTTCCCCTTTTCCCCTTCCCTCCAATAACCCACTAAATAAATATTCAGCCTCACCCTGCATGGGTGCCTATCCATCTCTATCTCTCACGGGTCACACGGCTCCCTGCCTGGGACTCGATGCTCCTCCTTGCCTGCTGCCTGTTTGGTGCCACTTGGAGAACAGCGCCATTTTAATTATACCATAACAGTGAGGACCTGACTTTGCAAACTCTATTATAAAGAAGGGGCTTCATGTTAAGCCATATAATGAGCGGGGGCTGATCTCAGCTTCAGAAATTTGCTATAATAGCAGAATTTGTAAGTGATGCTCCAATAACTGGAGCCCGTACATTTTATACTGATGCTAGTAAATCAGTGAAGGTAGGTTCCAAATCAGACAAATTGAGTAAGGTGGAAGAAAGCCCTTATAATTCTGTCCAGAAGGCAGAATTATATGCCATTCTTATGGTGCTAAGGGATTTTAAAGAACCTCTTAATCTAGTTTCTGACTCACAATATGCAGAAAGAGTTATCTTGCATATTGAAACTGCTAAATTTATACCAGATGATACAGAACTGACTTCATTGTTTATCCAGGTACAAGACATGATCAGGAATCAGCTTTGTCTTATGGGCATAACACACATCTGATCCCATATGGGTCTGCCAGGTCCTCTAGTACAAAGTAATGCAGAAATTCATCAAATATTGATTGGAAGCATGCTGCAGGCTTCTAAATTTCATAAAAACTCATATCAATAGCAAAGGTTTAAAGAAAGAGTTTTTTTATAACGTGGCAACAAGCTAAGGAGATTATAAAGAGATGCCCTACTTGCTCTTTATATAACCAAACACCACTACCTGCAGGGACTAACCCAAAGGGTACTCAAAGGAATAAAATCTGGCAGCTGGATGTGTTTCAATTTGCAGAATTTGGCAAATTGAAGTATGTTCACCACACCATTGACACTTATTCAGGCTTTCAGTGGGCAACTGCTTTAAGCTCAGAAAAGTCTGATTCAGTAATTTTGCTATTCAAAGTGTTTGTATTCTCCTTTAGATGTGCGATCTCTTTTTTTGAAAAGTTCGGTATCAGTCTGGACCACTTCTAAAACCACCTCATTCGACTGAATTTTAGTATTCAAAGTGTTTGCATTCTCCTCTAGATATATGACCTCCTCTTTAAGAAGCTTGGTACCAGTCTGTACAGTGTTTAAAAGTACCTCAGCTGACTGAAAATTGTTAGTTAAGATGGCCATGTCTCTTTTTAGATTTCCAACTTCTTTTCT